GCTGCTCCCCTCAGCAGTGTACTTCGTCGATCTGCCTGTTCTGCTCCCTACTCTGTCTCTGGTGAAGCCTCTCGCCACCCCTGAGCTTCTGGCCAGCTCTGTATGCACAAATAAATCTTAAAAAAAAAGAGGTTGGTTCATAGCATGTCCTCCTGTGTGCCCAAACATCACTTTCAAGCTCAAGTATCTTTGACCTACCCACCCCAAGTGAAAGAGGTGTTGCAAATAATCTTCAACACCACTGAATTCAGAAATTTAAGAGTAAGGGGCAAGGCTTTTCATTTTCTGTCTCACAATATTACAAGGGAAAAAAGAAAAGGCCCTTGTAATACTTTCCAATTATACGAACTTTGTGTTAGTATTAAGTGTCCAGCATGCGGGGCCGACTGTACCCATGTGTCCAGAGCTGGTTAACTCAGTGGATTCCCATGGGGATAAAAACCTGAGATTCTGGTGCACATTAGGCTCTGTGTTACAGTACGAGAAATGACAATATTTTAATTTAAATGGATTTATCACATCCATGTGGAGAAAATTTGGGTGGGCTAATACTCATACAGAGATGCTGAAGAAACCTAAGAGGTGCCTGAGGGAAGGAAGTTTCTTTAAAGGCTATTTTGAAATTGAAAATTTAGTAACTCACCCCATGCATGGCTTCTGTAGATTTTCTCGCATTTAGGCTTAATGGCGTGTGATAGACACTTGTAAAAGTGTTGTTCTTGGGGTTATGGCTATAAAAACCAAATATAAACCACAATTAGAAATGTACTCTGTCCAAGATGACTCAGCAACTGTTCTAAAATACCATCGTTGAAAAGAAAATATCAGTAAGTATAAAACTTAATTACTGTTGAAGTCATGATTTTCAGGTAATGAGTCTTAGAGGGAAAAGTCAAATATATTCAGCATATAGAATTCAAAGACCAAATTTAACTGGCAATGATCACTTTATAACTTTCTGTGGGTAAAAAGGATTTTGAAATTATTTAACAGAAAAAAATCCAAAGCTCTTTATGCCTAGCCAAAGTAAATACATTGTTCTTCATAATATATAATCGTTTGATCTGATCTTAGTGTGAATAGATTTAAGTTTTTATTGTTAAGAAATTTGAAATTTTCAACTTTCTGTCCAAGGCATAAGATTCTGCTTTTGGGTCTCTTCAATGCTTGTGGGAAGCAAAATCTTTGGGGGTAGACACTGGAGTGTGTCATTTGAACCTCTGTTTGGCAACTTGTTAAGAGCTAAAACCCAAGGTCCCATCACTTACGCGTGACAGTATGGTCTTTTCTGGTGACTCACAAAGTTATTAACTGAGAGCATCATCTTGCAAACTTCACAGTGAAAACATGCTTTGTGCCAGATCTAGAAATCACATAGGAGATAGTTAGCAAAATTACTTTTTTCCTAAATTCAGAATTATTATATTTATACAGTATCTCAGGGTTTAAAAATTGAGAACTGAGGATAAAAGATGATTTAGACACAGACCATGGCTATGGTACCTTAACTAAATGAATAACTGTTTTTGAGATGACATAGAAGACAGAGAAAAAAATGGGTAGGTTAGAAGAAAGGTGAGAAATACAGCTTCTGCCTTTTTTTGGTGGTGACTCAAGAAAAAAAAAATTCCACATGTAAATACATGAGAAGATAATTTCCCATTTTGTTATTAATCCCAAAGGTCAAAAAGTGTCTACTGACCTGATCTAGACAGTTGATCTTCTCAGCAGGGTACACTCCATACCCACACCTAGAGCAAGCTTGTACATTCATCTTGACGTCCGAAGAGAAAAGACAAAGACAAGCAGCAGGTGAGAAAATCCAGAAGCCCAGGCCAGGCGACCCAAATCTCCAAAATCCCGGTAACTGCTAACTTCCTAGGGGTGCTCCAATCTGTTCAGATCCCACTTCCACTTTCTTTTGCTGACCTTCTCGTTTGAAGTCAGCAGCTGGATGGTTTTTAAAGCTGCCACTTACTCAAGGGGCTATTTTGGCGACTCACTCAGCACGCATGCGTCCGGGAAATAAGGTGGAGGTATTTCTAGCTGACTTGTTTCTCGAAATAGAAACGTGAACTCACAACAGCGTCATGTTGATGTGCATGACCAAATCCTGGTGTATGATCGGGCAGTGTGCAACACCAGCTGCAGTCATACCCCAAGAAAAGAACGCAAGGGAATACGCCACACCCTTTCCCAACCATCAAATTAGAAGAGTTGCTCTTTGAGTCCCATGATCACAGCAGAAAGGCCAGCTCCCTGAAATATAAGAAATGAGATAGGCTTGATTCACTCAACAGGAATAGTAAATACTATTATCGAACTATTGAATTTAGTGAAACTGAAAATATAGTAAGATGTTGGTGTTTAGCTTTTGCTAGAACGCAAATATAAGGCCACATGAGAATTCTTGGGATTTGGGCCACTATATGTAATTCTGGACTGTTCCAAGAAGGCCTATCTGCTTATTCTTGTCTCCCAGGTCTGAAAGTTGGCAGCTTAAAAAGTTGAATCTTCTCCTCCTGGCTTTTGAAGACCCTCACTATCTACCTAATGCTGCCTTAAGGCAGACCTTCTAGAAACCTCTTACAAAGATGGTGTTTCAGGCCTTCTTGGTGGCCTAGGGATTAAGTCTCAGAGCTATCACTGCTACAGCCTGAATTCGATCCCCGGCCAGGGAGCTGACCCACATGGCGTGGCAGACCTCTCCTGTCTTGCCTGCTGCTCCCCTGAGCAGAGTATTTCTGTAAATCCTCCTCTTCTGCTCCCCACTCTGTCTCTGGTGAATCCTCTCCCTCCCTATCCCCACCTCTGGCCCATACACCAGTTCTTTTATGCTAAAATTAAAAAAATAACAACCATGAAGATGGTGCCTTGCTCGTCCCACCCCCAGCTCCCACCTTCCATGAGCCTTCCCCTGTTGTACGCTCTTCAAGCCATTACCACCGCCGACATCTTAAATATTAGTGTATCTACTTTTTAAAGTTATCTGTCTCTTCCATCAAAATATAAAATCCATCCAAACAGGGCCTTGTCATTTCTACATCTGCCATGCTAGAATAAGGCACAGAAAAGGTACTCACTAAGTATTTATGGCTCCAGTGAAATTAAATACTCTCACCAAAATGCCTGGAGATCAGAGGTGAAGCCATAGATCAAGGTAGGCACCTTCCAACTGGGATGGCACACGATCATCTGAAGCAGCAACTTGCCACAGCCAAAGTGGCAGGAGAGGTGGTCCCAGAGAAACAGTGTCCGGGTCCTGAAGTCCAAGGGGGTCAGCACTGTCAAGTTCTGGCGAAAGCTTTCATCTAGTTGCAAACTGCAACTGCTCTGTCTTCTCAGGGTAGAAGGGTCAGGAAGTTTGTTTGTTCTCTCTAATCATGCATTTATTAATGCATTAATCCCATTCAGGATGGATCCCACATGCAAGCACCTCCCAAAGACCACACCTCCCAACTCCATTAGGTTAGAGTTAGGTTCTAGCATCTGAATCTGGGAGAGGGACACAAACATTCCATTTCTAGAAAAAGCATGTTGGAAACAGAGTATTTTACCTGCTAAAATATTCAGAAATTTAGGATTTTCACATAAATCAATAAATTATAATTATTCCCTTACACTTGCCCAGAGTCAATTCTTTTTAAGGAGATATAACTAGTCTAACACTATTATTTTCAGTGTACAAGAGATATAACTGGTCTAACACTATTATTTTCAGTGTACAAGAGATATAACTGGTCTAACACTATTATTTTCGGTGTACAATAAGTGGATATATATATAGTATAAAATGGTCACAAGTCTAGTTCCCGTCCTTCATCACATTAGCCTTTCTTAAGCCTGAGTCCAAACCAGGGGAGGTTTTAGGTGCTATTTGGTGGGGTGTTCGCCTTATGTCCTGCCATACAGGCTGAACTTTCACACAAGGGGTTTCTAGATTATTAAAAGCAACTATCTCTGGGGCCCTCCCTGGTGGCACAGTTGGTTAAAGCTCAGCACTGCAAGCTTGCTGCAGCCTCTTCCCTGCGAGTTC